CTTCTTATTTAACTTCCAAATTACCTTACAAATTACCAAATTACTTTGACAATTTATAAAATCGATTGAAACTTTCTATTGTAGCAGAAATTGTTACTTTAATAATAAGACGAAATGATTTGCAAAATCAGCCAATTATTATAATGCCCGCTATGCTTCTAATAGAGTGTCCAGAATTATGATAGGACCCCAAAGAACTCTGATACAACTCATATGTTACCAAAAAAGGAAATTTTGTATAGAAAATTATTAAACATTGCTTTTTTATATAGTAAATTTTTTAAATTTTGCTCTATTTTATACATCTATTTGGCCAAATTTATACAAACTTTATACAAACTTAGATCTAAGTTGTATCAGAGTTCTTTGGGGTCCTATTATGATCCGGTAAATGCCAAATTATGCATCTGGTAAATTGCAAATTATTCGAATTATACGAATTTTGAGTTATTAGCCAATAAAATTTCAAAAAGAACAACAAGTCAGGTGATTACAGTCACCGGTTTATTTGGTTTATTCATTTAACCAATCAATTTTTGTTTACATGCGCATATTATACCAGATAATAATCCTGGACACCCTAGTTTCTACCTGTTCTTCGAACAATAAATATTCTTCAAATTATAAAAAAAAAAAATAACAAATTGAAACAAACAAAAAGTTTTTTGTTAAATTATTTGTTTATAACACTTTTTGTTATCCGAGTGCTGTCAAAAAAAAAAACTGAATATCACCAATCAGATTCTTCATGGGTTGTAAATAGAGTTGCAGGTGAAACTAATTAATTTCACTTGGTGAAATTGGTAAAACTGGTGCACTATTGGTGCACCATAATAGCCAAATTGGTAAAACTAGTAAAACTGGTGAAACAGTGTTATTGGTAATATTGGTAAAACTGGTGGTGTTGGTGAAACTGGTAGTATTGGTGAAACTGGTGGTATTGGTGAAACTGGTGACATTGGTGAAATTAGTGATATTGGTGGCAATATTAGTAATATTACCAGTTTTACTAATATCACAGTTTCACAAATATTATCAGTAGCGTTCAAGTTCGATGCTTCAGGTTCAAGTTCAGTTTGAATGTTAATGAACTTTTTCGGGGGTTTGTGTTGGACAATTCAAACGTAGCATTGCTTCAAAAAAATTGATGGCTGAATTTTTTCTAACTTACATAGATATAGGTTTAAATTAATCGCCAGTGAGTTTATAATGCTTAATAATGTCATTACTTAGACTTTCATTTATCTAGGTTGAAAAGTTGACACAAGAAAATAATAAATATTTGCAAGTTAATTATTCTAAACATTTATGTAAAACAGACCAAGACTATCAGTCCTAATACAGTTAGCATAAAATATCGTATCGAACATTAATAGTCTAATTTTTTTGTGATTTTGTTGGGTTAGATTAATTTCAGATAAGACTAAAATTTTATTATCAGTATTTTGATATAAATTTTTAGACTATAAGAATCATAAATCGGCATGGATAAGAACTAATAGATTATATCAAATATTTGATTAATAAATAATATTGACTGGATCGACTTGAACAAAAGATTGTTTATCGACCAAAATCTGTATAGATAATAAACTAATACATTGTTTTCAAATGCTTTTATTAAACAAAGTACTTTATACTTTCCAGTTAAATTAAATCTAAATAATTGACTTAGTTAAAATTGCAGATAATTTATAATCTTACAGAGGTAGAATATTTAAGAAGAAGCAAAATATTTTTGTTCTATTTTAGACTAACATACAGACTAATATAATTTAAATATAAAGAAATGGCCTATTTTAAATACACCCACTATTATGATCACTGACTAAAATAAATGAAATAAGAAACCAAATTAAAAATAGTTATTTTTCGCAACTGCAAGTAAATTTCTGGTTATACAGTCAGGGAATATAGCAAAAAGGTGCAAATTAGAAAATCCGGTTCTAGAATGATCTGCACAGATTTGATTGGCTTTTGTATGACTTCTTGCTAGCAGTTTTAGGAAATTTTTTACATGTTTTATTTATTGCTTAAAACTTCTAAATAAAAGCATTAATAGATAGTAGAAAACATGTAGTTTAAATAATCCACAATAATCCACTCTAGTTAACTCTTATTAAAAAAGTAAATAAACTATTAAAAAAGTAAATAAGATTTGGAATATTCTAGTTTGTATAATAATAAAATTTTTTTCTATTCAGTTGATTTTGATTGGTTAGTGATCATTCTTGGATCAACATAAAGAAATTTCAGGAACCATTAGATCAGCATTCTATTACCATAAATGGTGTGATTAGTAGTATACATTTATGGTATATTCCCTGACTAAATTGAACTCTGTATCTTATCTATAATTATTTAAATAATAACAACTTTATCACTATACTATATTATCATACTTCTTAATTATTTATTTTCATAAGCATATTATGTAGCAAATAATTTTATATAATTTTATAATATTTGCTAAATATATACAAGTGATTACTTGAGAACTACCAGACCAAATCAGTTAAAATTTTTATACATAATATAAGAATATTGCCACTATATAGTAAAAATTTGAGCCAATTTAGATCAATAGTTATCAATATATACATTATCAAATTTCGAGTAAAAATAGCAAAAACTTTTTTTTTTTTTTTTTTAATATTTAGGGTGTAGCTCCTGCCCCAGACTTTTATTAATACTTAAGTAAATTGACATATGATGTTGCCATAAATACATACATATTATATATCAGAACTAGAACTAGGACATCAAGTACTAAGACTATTTATCCATAGCTAAAACCTACCAGAGCCATCAACATTCCTATACATGTGATTGATCTGGATTTTATACATCTCTCACCAACCGCCAATCAATATTCACATATTCACCACATTACCCACAAACCATTTATCTTCAACTCCCAAATTGGTATATACCAGATAGGTGCTTATTGCTTCTAGTTTGGTGTGTCTGTCAGCGGAGTTTTCTCTCTTAATCCCTACTTAGCATACTTCCAGGAGTTCGTATCTCAAGCCATGCAGCTACCTCTACCCGAATATTAAGTATCTCAAGCCTGCATACTGCCGTAACTAGCTGGTTTCCTGCAACTTTCAGAACCCAGGTCTTAACGTATCCAATTAGGTCTGTGCTAACAACTGTACTTCCCAATATGCTTTCAGTAGTTAGTATAGTTGGAGGGCATCATGAGGCTCAGAAATAACAGGTGTGTAATCATTTCTTTTATGGTGATTCTCGGCAGTTGTAGCCTCCAGTTACCACTACATGCGCTTACACTAGCTCTACTTATATTGGTGATCCTGAGTCCTCTTAATGCCAAAGGCTTCTATACGAGTACGACAAGAGCCTGTTAGGTCTATTAATACATATATGCCTCCATGCTTCAACTTCTTATTGGCCAGTGAGTTTTATATGTGCCAGAGGTGTTCCAAATCTGGTAAGGCCAATTCTTTACTACAGATCCCTTTGTGTTTACCACATTCTCACCACTTTTCAATTCTGGTTACCGCCTGGTTATTCTCCCAAACAAGATTCCCAATACCGCCTTAGGGGTTGTTGATGCTACCTTGCCAATCGCGGATTTACACACACAACCTTTGTGTAATAGAACCTTCTGTAACAGCTACTGTTATATATAGTGCCAACTACTCCACAATGGACCTTCTTCTGGAAATTCCTAATACAGACTTGTATTTACTTAGACTTCCCACAGCAGATACTTCCAAATATTCATAGGTAAATGTACCTACTAGAACTTGAACCCAAAACCTGCTCATGGAGAGTTGGGTGCCTAGACCACTAGGCCGCAGGATTCCAACCCTAAATAGCAAAAACTTTATAATAATTAATTATTAAAAAAAATTGCTATTTTTACTCAAACTTTGACGATAAATATCTTGATAACTATTAATCTAAATTGGCTCAAAGTTTTACTATAGATAGTGACAATATTCGTATATTATATATAAATTTTAACTAATTTGGTCTTGTAGTTCTCAAGTAATAACTTGTATACGATAGTCAATTTTTTAAAAAAAATTAACTATTGTTACAAGCGATTACTTGAGAACTACTAGACCAAATCGGTTGAAATATATATATACGAATATCATCACTATCTATAGTAAAAATTTGAGCCAATTTAAATCAATAGTTATCAAGATATTCATCGTCAAAGTTTGAGTAAAAATAGCAATTTTTAATAATTAATTATCATAAAGTTTTTGCTTTTTTTACTCAAACTTTGATGATGTATATATTGATAACTATTAATCTAAATTAGCTCAAATTTTTACCATAGATAGTGGCGATATTCTTATATTATGTATAAAAATTTTAACTGTTTGGTCTGGTAGTTTTCAAGTAATCGCTTGTATATGATAGTTAATTTTTTTAAAAAAATAACTATCATATACAAGTGATTACTTGAGAACTACTAGACCAAATTTGTTAAAATTTATATATATAAGATATGAATATCACCTCTATCTATAGTAAAAATATATATATATAATATATGAATATCACCTCTATCTATAGTAAAAATTTATATATATAATATACGAATATCACCTCTATCTATAGTAAAAATTTGAGCCAATTTAGATTAATAGTTATCAAGATATTCATTGTCAAAGTTTGAGTAAAAATAGTGAATTTTTTTATATATAATAGATTTAAAATTTTATTTTTTTAGCCAATCAAAATTCTAGATTTATTGTCAAGTGAGGAGTGGGGTAACCTACTTAGTAAACCCTAATCACCTGATAAATGGCACTCCCCTTATAGATATTAAACAGATATAACTACCATTCTAAAGATATTAGACAGATATAGTAATGATTATATTATTTATAATCATATATTTTTATTTGAAAAAACTAATTTGACACTTAATGTATTATACTGGATGTTTGTATAACATGTAAATTAAATAATTTTTATTAAAATAAACAATAAACAAACATATTTTTAATTAAGGGAAAATGTTTTCTGTGCACTCGCATGGTTGTGCACACCACGTGCATCATATAAAAATAATGATCATCATTAATAATCATTATTTTTTTTTATCTGTTTGTTTTTTTTTTGTCTTTGCTTACTAACCTTTTTTATTGCCGTAGTTGGTGTCATCGTTGGTGCCGTCGTTGGTGTCGTTGCTGGTGTCATAGTTGGTGTCATCGCTAGTGTCGTAGTTGGTGTCGTTGTTGGTGTCGTAATTATGTCGTCGTTGGTGTTGTCGCTAGCTGGTGTCCTTGTGGGTGGTCTTGTTTGTTTTTTTTTGTTTGTTTGTTTTTTTTTTTTTCATTTTTGTATTTTTTTGTTTTTTTGTTTTTTTTTCTTTTTTTTTTATATATATACAGTGTATTAACCAGCTTCTCATTTTGTATTGTAATGCTGTCGTTTGTATTTGCATCATTCGATTTCGATAGTGTGGTTATTTTTTTGGTACCATGTATTATCATTTCTTGGCTGCTTTGGGTGTGCTGTATATCGTCATTTTTTGGTGTTATGTGTTGCTGTTTAGCCGTTGCTTTGGTACCATCATTTCTTTGTTGCTTCAGGGTTAGGGTTAGGGTTAGGGTTGGGTTCATGTTAAGGTGAAATTATAGCAGATCAGTATGGTATAGGTAAGCAGAATTCTATTGTAAGAGTTAGTATAGATTAGAGTAGAGTTACATCATTAGGACGATTCTACTGCATCACTAGAGTAGGGTTAGAGTTCGGGTTCAGGTTAGGGTTCGAGTTAAGGTTAGGGTTCAGATTAATAGTAATGTTAGAATAGAGTATATAGTTAATTAGAAGTTAGGATAGGAATTATTAATTGTACTTGCATTTTCGTTGTGAATTAATAAAGTATAAATTATACAAAAAAAAATATGTATATGTAATGTTTGTGCAATTTTCAGACTTACCATGATTGAATTGAATTTTGATTGGGAATTGAGTTTTTAAGCAAAGGTATCTCTACAATTATTTGATCAAAATTTGATAAACCTTTTTTATTTAAATTTTATAGATTCATAGAATTCATATTATCGATTTTGTTAGGTGATTATGAAGATATCTTCGCTCAAAGCTTTAAAAAAAAATTTCGCACAGCTTCTAACTTAATTGGCATTTCGATATTTCTTTAACTTTGAGTGAAGATATCTCCACAATCACCTATCAAATTCAATGAAAAAAATTTATTTGAATTGTATGGATTTATAGAATTCAAATGAAAAAAGTTTCATCGAATTGGGTCAAGTAATCGTGGAGATATCTTGCAAAAAAATTTGACACAGTTTCTTGATAGACGTTTTGATTTTTAAACAAAGGTATCTCCACAATTACCTGACTGACCAAAATAGATGAAACTTTTTTTATTTGAATTCTATGAATTCATAGAATTCAAATAAGAAATTTTCATCGATTTTGGTTAGGTAGTTGTGAAGATATCTTCGCTCAAAGGTTAAAAACTTGGCAGCTTCTATTTTAAAAGATATTTTTAATTTTGAACAATGATATCTCCATAGCCACTTGATCATAATTGGTAAAAATTTTTTTATTTGAATTCTATGGATGTATAGAATTCAAATAAAAAATGTTTCATTGAATTTGGTCAGGTGTTATAGTGATATCTTCACTCAAAGTTTAAAAAATTGGCGCAGCTTCTATTTTAACAAACAGTTTAATTTTTGAGCAAAGATATCTCCACAACTATCTGACCAAAATTGATAAAACTTTTTTTATTTGAATTCTATGGATTCATATAATTCAAATAAAAAAGATTTTATTGATTTTGGTTAGGTGGTTTTGGAGATACTTTGTTTAAAGTTTTAAAAAAACTTCTATTTTGAGGGGCACTTTGATCTTTCTTTAATTTTGATCGAAGATATCTCCACAACCGCCTGACCAAATCGATAAAACCTATTTATTTGAATTCTATGATTTCTAGCATTCAAATAAAAAAGGTTTCATCAATTTTGGTCAGGTGGTTGTGGAGATATCTTCGCTCAAAGTTTGACACAACTTCAATTTTGATAGGCATTTTGGATTTTCTCTATCTTTTGATCGAAGATATCTCCACAACCACCTGACCAAAATCGATAAAATCTTTTTTATTTTATTGCATGGATTCATAGAATTCAAACAAAAAAATTTTCTTTGATTTTAGTCAGGTGGTTATGGCAGTATCTTCGTTCAAAAGCTTTAAAATATTTGGTACAATTTTAATTTTAATGGGCGTTTTGATTTTTCTCTAACTTTGATCGAAGATATCTCCACAACTACCTGACCAAAATCTATAAAGTCTTTTTTATTTGAATTCTATGGATTCATAGAATTTAAATAAAAAAAGTTTTATCAATTTTGGCCAGGTGGTTGTGACGGTACCTTTGCTCAAAGTTTCAAAAAAATTTAGCACAGCTTCTATTTTGATAAACAGCTTGATTTTTCTCTAACTTTGAGTGAAGATATCACTACAATCACCTGACTAAAATCAACAAATCCTTTTTTATTTGAATTCTATGGACTCATGAAATTCAATAAAAAAAATTTCGTTATGTGATTGTTGAGATATCTTGATTAAAAAGTTTAGTTTTTTTAAAAAAATTAGTGATCCTGTGATCAATTTTGATTGGTTGATCACGAGATCATGAGGGTGCATGGCCGTGCGGGTGCGTGAAAAACTTAAACCCTTAATTTATTTATTATTTTTCTTGTTGTTATTTATTGTTAGCACTTTTAGTTCTCTTTATACATATATCAATTGATTATTTAAATTTTAAAATTTATTATATTAATTTTTTAAATCATATATAACTATTAGATTAAAGTAATAATAATTGTAATAATCAGACTACTTAAATTAGGCATCAAAAGTGCATGTGTAGCTTGATGTACCTTTGTAATAATATATAGTGTTTGAACTTACTTAATAAAATTTGCTAACTATGAGAGTTTTTTTTTAAAAAAAATGATAATAATATAGTTAACTCTGGATATACCGAACTGCAGAGTCTGGACCTTTTTGTTCAATATAGAGTAAGTTTAGTATATAATTTACTCTCTTTATACTGAACTGTTTGGTATATAGAGCTGGCCAATAAAAACATTTTACATGACTAGCCATCATTTCAATTTTTATTCAATTTTTTTTTTATTTCAAATATTTTTATACGAAATACAAATTTTATTTATATAAATTTAAATATTTCTATTCTAATAAAAAAATTTACTTCATTTGGCATTTAAGAAATAGTTAAAATCGATCTGTTTAAGGTTTTTTACAATATTTAATCTAACTCTTTTGTATAACTTTTATAAAACCTTTACTTCTTCTTCAACTTCTTCAAATTCAAGACTCTGCTTATATAAAAATCTTAATATTTGGTTCATATATTTTTCTGTCTCTGTATAGCTAATTTTCACTTCTTCAATAGGGTTTTTGGTTTGTTTCTCCTCTTCCTCTTCTTTATTTTCGGTTTTAACAATTTCCAAGATCTCTTTTTCAGTAAGACCTTCATTAACTTTTTCATTCTCAGTATAAATATAGTCAAATATAGTAAGACAGTCATTCATTGATAATGGTAAATCAGCAATTACTTCTGAAAGTTTCAATTTATTATTTATATTATTAAAAAAAAAAACTTTTTAATTTTTTTTTTTTTAAATAAAATTAATATATACCTAGTAATAGATTAATGTATTTGATTATACCAATATATTAGCTCATCAAAAATTTATTTGTGTATGTTCTAGAAAAAATTTGTAATCAGGTTTCAATTATATAATTAATACCCAATTACAGGTTTTTTTTTAAACATGCTTATTTATTGTATTAGTTGATATATTTTGTTAAAATTGACAAGAATGAATATTTTAAGATTATTATACATAAATTTTAATATGTATAAATTTTAAAATTAATATTCTTGCATTACTAATATACTTATACATTCTTGAATTTCTTCTTAAATTCTTCAGAACCTTCTTGTAAAAGAATATGTATTTTTTCCAACAGTTTTAATAGTATTTAATAACATCATAGACCATGCTTCAGCTACATTAAGTATAGCATTATAAATATTATAATCAGCTATTTCTTTTTTTATACTATCTTGCATATTGTTATAGGCTTTAATTCTGTTTTGAACAAAGAAAGTTTTGTAGTAACACTTGAAAGAATATATGATACCAATATTACAAGGTTAGAGAACAGAAGTTGTATGTGCTAGAAGAAATTCTACTCATATACAATCCAATTGTCTTTTAGTTTCATTAAGAATAGCATGTACTGATGCTTGGTCAACTAAAAGTATCATTTTTGACATTTTTGGCTCATTCTATTGTTAAGCTTAAAAAGAAGTTGATTAAAAATAGTAGGTTTTATCCAAACTCTTTCATTATTAAAATAATAAACAGAAAGATTATTATAATTAATATTTTATATAGCATGGGGTTTTTTGAAGATATGAATAGATGCTAGTTTCATTTTTTTAGTTCCACTTGCATTTATAGCACAAAAAATTGTTGTATATGTTTTTGCTTTTTTTGTGCTCTGCCAATTTTGAACAAGCCAATACACGAGAAGGTTCTATTTTTCAATAAAGCCCTGTTTTATCAGTATTCCAAATATCATCAAGACTATAATATTGAAGTAAATTTTGTAACCTAAGTCGCTCTTCTGTTATTTCTTTTATAGGAGGTATATTTGCTGCTTCACTCTCTTTTTTAAATTGATGAAGTCCATTATGCTTTTTGAAACTAGTAAGCCAACTATTGGACTGATAAAAATCTTTAATATAAAGGCAATTAGCAAAAAACTTTGCTTTTGTCTTAAGAATATGTCTATCGATATCTTGTTTTATATTAAGTGCATTATCTACCCAGAGACCAAGAGCTTCGGCTATTTTGGCCCACGAAATTTTTTTATTTCTCCTTGTTCTTCAACTGCAATAGCTAACCATTTTTCTTTTTCTTTTAAGATATCAGTTATTATTGACTTACCAACAGAGTACTGGTTTGCAAAATCTATGTTTTTAATGTTTGGATTTTGTTTTTTTGCTTTACAAATTTCTTGCTTTTGTATAGCAATAAGAATAGCACATTTTTTTGTTGACATGTCTAGATATATTAAGCTGTAAATACTGAAAATTTTAACATACAATTTCTAATTAACTATTTATAAATTTAAATTACAGATAATGTTATTGTAAAAATTTGATAATTTACATGTATACATGGTTAAACTATAAAAAATTAGCATATATTTAGCATTCCAATCATAAGCATTTGTAAAAAATTTGACAAACAATTGCAATCAATTAGTTATTGTTGAGCAGATATCACAAGCAATTCTATTAAATTATTGATTGAAAATATTATTAAAAAGATAACATTAAATATAAAAATTGTAAGCATTGAATACGATTCTGAAATCACTACTACTTAGTAAACTAAATATTAAAGGATAGCAATTTCTTTCAAACAATAACCATTTGGTTGTTAATTTTTTTATAAATGCTATCTCTTAGATTGTAG